TCGCACGGGATCCCTTTGTTGCTTAGCATCCTAGCCTTATTTCAATGAAGGCCAGGATTCAAAGGAATGCAAATGGAGATGAGACTTTGAATAGCGTTTTCAAGCCTTAGAAAGTTGAGAAAACACCCCAAAAAGAGTCCAGAAAAAAGGTTAGAATCATCAAATATGTGCATGAACAATGGACGTGCGAACGACAGCATTTTTTTAGCATTTTTTGGTCATAGCTAGTGGCGTAATATGCATTGACAATGAATGTATTGCTGACCTATTTATATCATGATTTTGTGCGGCTTGACCAGCCCACAGTTTCTTTCGTTTGTTCYTCCGCAATATGCATTGTTCTACAGTGTCATTTCCCCGCAATATTTTGATCTGCAGTCTCTAAAAGCATGTTCGGTAAGTTTGTTCGCAATGAGCYATACTCTAATTTTCCCGTGATGCATTGTTGAGTTGGTRTTGGATCGGACTATGCAKGGACTCTCACTCTTGGAGGATTTTAATTTCASACGAGGCATAGTGATCAGTGTCGATGTAATCATCATTTGTAGAGCTCAGAGGTTATGGGTGCGAATTAGAGGACTAGGGCTAGCTCGAAAACGAGGCTGAGTCTACAGTTATTAAGCTGCGTGTGWCGGTGGTTATCGGTGAACGGTTTTGAGCTAAATGTGTTTTCCTCAGTGAACTAACTTCAAGTAGCACAGTTCAAGTCTGAYCTTTCTTCACTTGGTATTACATTTACACAATATTATCTTAGAGAAGGCATTAGCATAAAAYTTACTCATTGTTCCGTAGCAGAGTGGGTGCAGAGCGCTAGGTATGGCGGTGAATAAAAACATGTAGCTTCTCGTGATAAAGTAGTACCGCGAATTTGAACTGGTTGATATGTCGAAATGATCAAGTAGGAAAAATACTTGATAAGGTATGTAGCATACCAGGAATACCAGAATGACGACATAAAACATCTTAATGATGTCACGCTCTGTTTCGATCATGTGACTTTCCTCTTCACCACCGCTGATCGATGCACTGCGGTCTATGGCCATTGAGGAAGACGGCACCGCGGGAATATCTACAGACCTTCTACCATTACAGATGGAGTCTCGTGGAGTCATGGTTTGAAGATGGATTACSGGTTGGTTCATTGGYACGGTAAGCAAGTTGGTGTCGCATCCATTSCCGCCTTGACTATCTAAGTAGGTATGTAGCGTGCTGAGRTTGGAGTTAATTCGGATCTGACGGCCAGCYTCGATGAATGTCATATGTTCTCTAATCTTACAGGATGCAGCACTGTAACTAATGAACATGATGATGACAGGAACAAAAAACTGACATATCAACCGAACCAGGTCGTACTTAGGGAGGGGAGGGGAGGGAAAGCAAAAGCGCAAGGGAGACCTGTACTCYACTAGCTTCGTTCTCACCATAATKGGAATTGCAAATACAATTGAGTAGCCCCAGAGTACTGCWAGGATGATCAAGCACACCATTTTGGACGGGGTTTTCTTGTAGGGCGTGACCAACACGCGGTAACGGTAAAGCGAAATGCAAGCTAATGTCGCTGTGGTTACACTGTAAGTAATCAAGTTGCTGGGTACCACAATATGGCACAGGAACCTACCAAACGGCCAGTCCCCTAACTCCTCTTGCACAAAGTAAAATATGAGAATTAATGAATTAAGTACCTCGGCTACAGCTAGGCACGTGACGAGGTAATGCGTCAATGGCTTGCGTGATCTTCCTTTAGTACGAATAGCACGGATCACAATTATATTGCCGAAGAAAGCARAAGTGATGACAAGCGAGAAAATCACTCGACGAAAAATCACTAATTGCGGTGGTTCTTTGATATGGCTGATTCCATTGGTTTCGGAGCCGTTTGTTCCATTTGATGAATTCAAAGCCATTYTTTCTTTAATTATGTGGGTTCTCCAAATTAACCTGAAAAATGAATAAAGGTTTTTTATAAAACTCCGGAATAAGGTGCCACACATGGGCTGATTGACTTCAAAACGGCTCAAACTTGTATTATTTCATACTTGATTCAGTTTTCTTTGTTATTCATAATGTTGTATCTCGCTTATTCCACAGCTCATTGTGTATTCAAGTGCTTTATATCGAAGTTTCAGGGATATATATAGATATTGCCCCCATTTGAGGGCAATATCTAT